TGCACGGCTCGATCCCAGGATCCTGAGATCATGACCTGAGCCGAAGGCAGACACTTAATGACTGAGCCACCCAGGCGCCCCTGGGATTAGGTTTCAGGGCCAACTGAATCAAGGCTCCCTTGACAAGTCTCATTCTCTCATTAACACAGGAGTCAAAATAATACCAGATGTGGTAAGAGTCAAATGAGATAATGTATATAAAAGACCTTGGAAAACTAAAAAACCTAAAAAAAGATATTCATTTTGAGGTTGATATTACAAATGGTGAACTCTGCCCATTAGCACATCTTCAATACAAAAGATTATTAGTGAACTACATCTCTCTGTTGTTCGGGACACAGATATTTAAAATCCAAGCCAAAACACAAAATCTTTGTTGGGTATTGAACTTGATACCTAGCTTCTGTTTAGGTAATCTGCCTGCATTTAAGGTATAATGCCACTAGGTGGCGATGGCGTCCAGGCCACTGCGGTGTGCTCCAGAGCAGAAATCCTTTGGACCATCTGGAAGTCCTTTTTTTCTAAGTTCAGAGGCCTTACTGAAGGACCTGGCTAAGCCTCAGTTACCGCATCTGTAAAATAGGGATAACAGCACTAAATGGGATCGTGTAAAATCCTCCTGTGTACAGTAAGACCCTCAGGAAGTGTTTGCTTCTTTCCTAGCTAAGTGACTAAGAGCCTGGCTTTTGGAACCGGACTGCCTGGGTTTGAATCCCAGCTGTGTGACCTTAGGCAAGTTACCTAAACCTCTCTGGGCTTCCATTTTCCCTGTCTGTCAATGGGCTGGTAATTGTGCCTATCCTCATGGTTAATATGCATGAAGTGCTTAGAAAGTGCCTGGTCCCAGAAGAATGCTCTGGGTTTGCCACTGTCTATGTATGTCCTAGGGCAAACCCTCTCTCATGCATAGTCTGGCTCCTAAATCTGGGCACCTCCCAAGATGGAGTGCCTTGTCAAGACAATAGGTCTTCAGGGCATTTTTAACCCTCCTGGCATGACTCCTGGCCAGAGAAAGCTGCAATTCCAAGACTCCCGACACCCTGGTCTCCAGATTCGGGGCACAGCTGCCAATAGCCTCTGTCCACCAGGCAGGTGATGGAAACCAATTTGCAAGTGTGAAGCCAGCTGGTGGGAAGATAAGGAGAGGGGAGAAGGGGCTGTGAGGCTGTTTTAAAAGTACTTTTGTCCCTGGGGGGTGTCTTGCTCACCTTCGTGCATGCTGTTGGGAGGCAGCTCAGAAAATAAAAAATCATGGGCTACTGGGCCAATGGCTTTCCCCTGCTCTGTCCTGCCCCAGCTCCGTGCAGGTTTGCGGGGGAGGTAGAGGCATCTGGTGACGACAGCACCTGACCAGAAGTCAGGAGATCTGTTTTTAGCCCAGCTCTGTCACCAGTGCGCTGTGTGACCTTGATGAGTCTCTCTTCCTCTCTGGGCTTCAGAGTCCCGCTCTGCCAAAATTGGGACACACTCCCTGCCCTTCCTTTCCAACCAGAGATGTGGTGAGTATAGAGAAACTCCTCCAAACCTCACCTCCTCCTTGAAGCCTTCCATATTGGATGGAACAAAAGGACTCCAAATCTTTCCCATCTCCCCTCCACCTCTCCCAGGCAAAACATGTGATATGGGTTACTAATCTGTTATTTGCTCATTGATTGATTCCACAGGCTTGTTCAGTGCTGGTCTATCCTCCTGTCTACATGTCCTTTTTGACTTGTCTGCATTAGACACTCATCTGGGGAGGGCTGTGCCTGCCTCCTCAACTCTGAATGGCATGCGGAGTCTAGCAGAGGAGGCTAGCATGACCAAGGCATGGCTTGGGGTTCTCAGTGGGGAGGAAGTTCCCACTGAATCCCAGATGGGCTGGAACCCTTAGTAGGACTGAGAAAAGTGAATTGTTGGGGAAACAAGAGATGTGAAAAGTGCCTTGAGGAGCGAAACGGATAAATGTCTTATTTTCTGGATAGGGCACAGAATAATAGAGGGAGAGGGAGATGGAGGGGTCAGCTTTGAAGAGCATAAGATTTGCAAGCAGAAAATCTGGAAGGAAACTAGTTCAATTTTAAGAAGCAGGAAAGTTCTGTGTCAATTTCCAAAATAACATATTATTTTGGTTTACACATGGACAGGTATGTGTGTGCGTGTGCGTGTGCGTGTGTGTGTCCGTGTACTTTCTACTCTTTTTTCTTTTTTTTCTTCAGGGCTTAGGCTTGCTAGGGTTTTAATTCTAGGCTGGGCATACCTCAACTCCAAAGGGAATAAGTCAAGCCTACCGGCTCCCTCACCTCCGTACCCTTCCCTCCATCATCTGCCTAATCAGGTCTGCCTCTCTATTCTTCTCCCCACAGTTGCCCTCACTGGTTCTACCTTCTGTCAACCTCCAGCCCCCTAGCCTTTCTTACTCTCTGCATGATGACCCCCATCCCCTGGGGATGCCTCTACCCTTCCCACTCTTGCCATCCTCCACCAAATGCCTGGCTGCCAAGGGACACTGAGCATCTTTGATCAGTCAGTGTCATATGCTCTGGACTTCACTACATTTTCAAAACGTACTAGTCCTGGGCTCCATTCCATCTGCCTCAAAGCCTGATGACACACTGGGCAGGCTGATATTGAGGAGGGGCAGGTATTGTAGTCTATCCAATCTAGAGTGCACTTTAAGAGCTCTTGGGGAATTAGCCTCTTCACCTTGAGAAAATTCTGTCCAACAGGGGAATTTCACAGCGCTGTGGAGACCCAAACGGGAGAGATTTAGGGGTATGTGCAGTTAATGATAATAATAGATATGATTTATTGCACACCTATTATGTTCCAGGCACTAGGTTAGGTGCCTTACATCCTTTGCCTAATTCCAACAACCCTGCGAAGCAAGTGTATTGATCATGATAATAAAAACAACAAAATTCTCTGAGTACTTATGTGCTAAACAATTCATCTTTATTGTCTTGTGTAACATTCACACGACCTGTGAGGCTGGAGCTGTTGCTGTGCCCCTTTTCCAAATGAGGGAACTGAGGCACAGATCAATGAAGTAAGTTGACACACAGCTGTTAAGATAAGGAGGCTGAACCTCGGAGGGGTTAAGGAATATGTCCCTTTTTACCCAGCAAATAAGCAACTGAGTGAATCTCTGTCTTCCCCCAACTCCCCCAAACATGCTCAACACACCTCCTCTTAGCAATGGGAAGTTCCAGGTTGACAGAGGCAACTGGGACCAGAAACTTCTGGGGTGGGGAAGAGCGTGGGATTTCATCAGCTCCAGACACGAGGGTGTCCAGCATGCTCCGGGACCCCAGCCCAGCTACCTGCCAAATGTCTCCCGGCTTTGCTGGCCTGTCTCAGTAATCCTTCACTGCCTCTGGCCGCATCTGGCTCATCAGAATCGCAGCACACCCACTGGAATGCTGCCTCCTTCAGGAAGCCTTCCTGGTTGGCCCTAAACCAGAGCCCTTTGACCTTTTCTGGGACACTCCACTCGCTTGGTTGCTCTCTTCATCCTTGCGGTAGGTACTGTCATCTGGCCTCCCTAATTAGGTGTTGAGTTCCTCTAGGCTCTACACCTGACATGCAGTCAGTACTCAGAGAATTAGAGAATTCTCACTGAATGAATAAACGCCGCTCACCCACGTTCCCCTGGGTCATGAATTTCAGTGCCTCTGGTGAGGAGGGGTGGGAGAGGGATGGCAGGAAATTATGTGTGGCCAGCCCAGGTGCATACAATAGAGAGTGGTGAGGTCTGTGGCAAAGGAGAGTTTGCATGCCTACCTGAGGGACTTACAATCAAATTCCACCACTCCCATTCCCCACGAATGTCCGGGACCTGATGGCCCTGTGAACACTATCTTTCCTTTTCCCTGGCTTTATTTCCTACTTTGTGTGTAACATCTTAAAATATACCATTTATTATATTCAACATCTGTTTTCCCTGACAAATGCGAACTCCCTGAGGGCAGAGATTTGGTGTTTTGTATTCTGCTGTAGCCCAGCCCCCACGGGCACCTAGTAGACCCTCAACAGACAGGTGTTGAATAAGTCATCAGCCCCTGGTATGTGTCTGCAGTGGAGAGCTGCCCCAGTGCCCCTGCTGTGTCCAGGCTCCCGGAAACACTCAGGGTTCAAGTCAAGAAGAGTGAAGGCCGTTGGGGGTCACAACAAGCCTCCCACAGAGCCCCAAGGAGACGGCCTAGGGTCTGTCTTCTTGATGACAGCAGATCCAGCAGGAACTAAGGCACGAGGGTTAGCGGCTGACCTTTGGGGGTCAACTGGGGCGAAGGTGATTTTGGGGGGGAGGGTGGGTTGGTGGGAGAGGAGGGGCCATCACTCCAGAGCGCTCCCCCCGCAACACACACACGCCACACGCACCCACAATACACGCACCCGCTCGTACCAGAAGACGCAGGGTTAGGAGAGGCCGGAAACCGACGGACGGACTGTCAGCCAGGACGGTCAGACAGGGCGAGAGCAAAGTCCCAGAAGGTGTGGAAAGGGCACTGAAGGGAGGGGAGCGCCCCCCCGTCGCCCCTCCGGAACGCGCTTGCTGGAGGGCTGGGGAGAGGAGGAAGGGGGGGTGCACCCGGCGCCCGCCCGTCCGCCGCAGAGCCCCCGTGGCCCAGCCGGGAGCACCCCCAGGAGGCGGCCCAGGAACTGGGGGAGCCGCCGGCCCCCCCCTTACCCCGGGGGCGCCTGCTAAGCCGGGTGCTGCCTCCGCGGCGCTTCCACCTGCGCAGGCACCGCGCCGCCCTGCGCCGAGCTGCCATTGGCTCGCT